AAAGTCCTGTGAGAGAGGCCTGGCATGAGGGAGAAACTGGGAATATGAACCGAGAAAAAATGTAGTTGAATGTGGATCTGTATTGAGTTCCCTTTTTAAAGGAACAGCTGCAGTCTGCAAAGGAGTTTCAGGAGCATAGATTGGCAGAGAAAGTGTTGGAGAACTCAGAAGGAAGAGTCAGCAGGGTCAAAGCTATATAGGAGGTCAAGTTGGGTGAAGATTTAAGGAGAGAAGCTATGGAGTTGGTGACCGTGTGGTGGTTAGTGATCTTGAAGATCAGTTTTATTGTTAGATTGAAGTAGTTTGAGGAATGAGTGTGAAGATTTTTAGAGAAGACAAAAGTAGGTAATAATTTCAGAGGAAAACATCAAAAGCAAGGAAGAATGTTTTCAAATGGGAAAGTCCATTCTGGCATAAGGCAAAAAGCAGGAGGGGAAAGATAGAGCAAGGGAACAGAGCATGAAGGAAAAGTTCAGTGTTGCAAGTTCCAGAGGAGTGCAATCAGCACATACCTCAATGGTGTAGGCCTGGAAAGGTGTCTTCCTCTCAGAGGTTAGAGATCCAAAAAGATTCAGAACAGAGCTCTTAAGAAGGAAGCTGGGCCAGGGAGATGGCTCAGTGGAATAAGCACTTCCGTGGCAAGCGCAAGGGCCTAAATTCAATCCCCGGTTCCACAAAAAAAAAAAAAAAAAAAAGAAAAGAAAGAAAAGAAAAGAAAGAAAAAAGAAAGAAGTTAAGAAGGACCGGCCAAATAATTTGGCAATTAAAGCCAAGGGCCAGATTTGATCCCCCAGGCCTGTCCTGCCTGCCCCGCCCCCGGGGTGCGCTGAGACCGCAATTGAGACTGGGCATGGTGGTGTGCGCCTGTAATCCCAGCTCTTGGGAGGCTGCAAACAGGAGAATCACTACAAGTCCCATCTAGTAGTGAGACCCTGAACACCCTGTAGAACCTTCTCTAAAAAAGACCAAAAAGAAGAAGGAACTTAAAGACATTTATACCAGTGGTGTTGCCTAGAGAAATGGGAGATAAAGTCTGCTGAAAGAGGAGAAGCATAAAGGCCCAAGTAGGAGCTCTGAAGATGGCAGTGCTTAGACAGTATTTCAAATATGCAAAACCAGAGCCGGGGAGATAGCTTGGTAGAATAAGCACTTGCCTGGCAAGCGCAAGGTCCTGAGTTCAATCCATGGTACCGCGAAAAAAAAAAAAAAAAAAGCCCTTAAAAATATTTGTGATCACAGCTAGGGTTTTTAATCTTTTATTTTTATTTATTTAATGTGAGGATAGAGCTGGAGAAGTGAATGATTATATTGTTCCTGAATTGAGCCTTGAGAACGTGAAAAGAAATTAAGGATGTTCATATGAGTGTAGGGCAGTCTTTAACATGATTGTCTAAGAAAGTAAGAGAAACTAGATGGTACCTGATTAATTTTTTGTGATACTGGGGTTGAACCTAGAGCCTCACACATGCTAAGCGAACACTTCTGTTCCTGAGCTACAGCCCCCACCCAAGAGGCATTGTTAAATGTTAATTTGCTAATTTTAATTTTTAGTTCCTTAATTTATGTAAGTAAATTCATTTATTCACTTTGAAAAACTTAGAAAATGTTTAAGGATTGATTGGAATCTGATGTTATCTTTTTTTTTTTTTTGGAATCTGATGTAATCTTATCTTGAATCTAAATTTACTAGTTAGATTAGTAAATTTGCATGTCATTCTCCTAAAACACTCCTAAGGTTAGAAAAATTTGCCATGACCAGTGTGTGTGTGTATGTGTGTGTGTGTGTGTGTGTGTATATCCCCTTGTGTATATGAAGCAAATTTCATTTTAAGTATTATAAAATCATTTTGTAAAGTATGGTTCACTGTGCACTAGTCTAGCTAGCAGATTATGTACTTAGGTTCTAGGGAAAGAGGTTTCTGGGTTTCAAACACACAGAAACTGGGCACTGCAATTCTAATTAAATAGAGCACCATGTCTCTGAAGTACATCCCTCCTCCCATGTTTCACAGTACTCAGGAAGAAAGCTGTTTTCTGCTGCTGTTCAAGTCTCATCTTTTAACCACTTAAAAAATTCTGAAATCTACCCCATCTGTTCTTTGCCTCTTCTCACCAACCCCACTAATATTATCTAAAGACCTTTTAAAATGTTATCCCTAGTAAAATTTCAGTATATGACCTTTTATCATCTTGAAGCCTTTTAATATCCACATTAATGGCATATACGCTAGTTATCCAACTCTCATTTTTTTTCTCTATTTTTCTTCAGTTGGTTATGGGGTTACTTATATATTGAAATCCTTGATCATTTGCAACTCTTTCAACTTTTTTTTTTTTTTTTTTTTTGAGACAAGGCCTTACTATGTAGCCCATTTTAGCCTTAAACTCATGGTGATCCTCCTGTATCCACCTCCTGAGTGCTGGGGTTACAGGTGTGTGCTTCCATACTGGCTCAAATTTAAATTCTTGAACTCTGAAACTTCTCTTTCACATCACAGTTTCATTATTTTATCATTCTTTCATTTAGCATCTTTTAAGTGATACTGGGGATGACACCCAAGAACACTTGGTCACCAAACTACATCAATTTTTATTTTATGCTTAATTATTTTTTTTTTACTTGAAACAGAATCTTGCCTGGTTGCCTAGGGAAGCTTTGAACTTGTCATCTTCTGCCTCAGTGTCCCAAGTAGATGGAATCATAGGTGTGCACCACTGAGCTGAGCCATTTGTATTTGTCCATTGCGTGCTATTTGGTACAGTATTCCTTTTTAACTATTTTTCATTGCCCTCCCTGTTTTAATCTAGTTCTTTGATACTTTACATTGTACTGTGTTGTGGCATTGTATTGCAGTGTAGTGTAGTGTAGTGTAGTGTAGTGTAGTGTAGTGTAGTGCAGTGTACTGTAGTGTATTGCTATCCCGATTGTGACTTCATTTGCTCTCTTTCCTTCTGGTAGGTCATTTCAACTGCATTGTAACCAGCACCTTCAATTCTTTTGGTGCTTTAGCTTCACTTGACCTCTTCTAATAGTCAGATTACACGTGTGTCTGTGTGTGTGTTCTTAACACTGTTTATTTACATCAATAATGCCTTTAACTCTTTGCTCTGCAGCATTTTTTAAGATTCAGCTTAAAATTTATCTTTTTTCTGAAGAGTTTCTAGAACCTTTCCTTTCCCATTCCAGTTCACAAATGAGTCTTCTCTGTAGCTTTGGTACAGTTCAGTAAATGTTTATGGAACCTACTCTGTCAAGAACAGTTGGAGATTCACAGGTGGATAAGTTTTAGTCTTTGCTTTCAAGAGCCTCAGACCATAAGAGAAAATGTGTAAGTTTGTAACTGCATTATGTGATGAATGTAGGACAACATTTAGGGAAGAAGAGGTTTCCAAGGGGAGGAAAAATCCACATTTTTAAAAAACAGATTTATCAAGCAGACTAAGCATATGGGTTAGGGTAAACATCTAAGATTGAAGGAATACTATGTGTAATGGTCTATAGTGGCAAAAATAACTAGACAGGGAAATTACAGAAAATTTGACATTTGAATGTGAAGTTTGATGATAAATTATTGAGAGACGAACTTAAAAGATTACACAGGCAGTCACCGAAGATCTTATCTGTAAAACATATCCTATGATAGCATGTACCATGCTGCAAAACTAACCATCGTTTTTTATCTTCATGTCACCACAAAACAGGGTTTTTCAGGGCAGGCTCTCTACATACAGACCATTTAGGCTGAGTGTCTTAAGATACAGTAGAAACTCAGTCAGTGCTTGTGTTATTAATATGTACTCCAAAACTTTTTAAAAGTGATTTTAGAAGGACTTTTTTTTTGGGGGGCTGGCCCAGGTTATTTAAGGGTGGGTCTGGTAAGGCATATGAATCTGCGGATCGCACTGCTGTCCCCTGTGCCTGACTAGATTTGCTGAAGCAGGTGGCTAAACAACTGAGCTAATCCACAAGCCCCCTTAAAAGTTGAGAAGGATATTTTTGTTAAAGGTTATTTTAGATAAAACTTATTTAATAAGTCTGACCTTAATAAGACCAATTATTTGATATTGGAGATACATACACACACGCACACACACACACACATACACACAGACATGTAGGCATACACACAATCTCCTGAGTTGAGTGTAAACATGATGAAGAGCAAAGTTTATGGTATCATACATATAGTATGTAAAAAATTTAAAAATAAAATGTCATGAAATTGCTTCCTGGACATAAATAACTATTATTGAAAGATGAGACAAATGAATAGAATGAAATAGAAGTCTGTGGCAGGTTTGTTGGAAGTTCTGTGGTATCTTCGTATTTACTTTTATCGCCTTCCTGTATCTTTTCCAGAGGATTGAGCACCAGAAAAGAAGGAATAATTAGACCAGAAAGGAATAATTAGGAATAATCTTGGAACTCTACAACTAAACTGTGTAGGCAGGTAATCTGTTTGGTACTAGGTTGAAAGACTAATAGCCAGGTTTTCAGTCCTACTGTATCCTTGTTTATGAAAGGGCAGTTCAGGCCTGGGATGTAGCTGGGGTGGGGGCACAGCACCACCCTAGCAGGACGAGGCTCTGGTTTAATGCCTAACTATGTGAAAGAAGAAAAGAAAAGAAAAGAAAAGAAAAGAAAAGAAAAGAAAAGAAAAGAAAAGGCATTTAAAATCACTTTGGAATGTGACATGAGTGTTTTTAAAAATGTTGTGGATATCAGAGGGAAAAGGAGGCTTATAACTTTCAAATCAATCGTCCTACAGCCTCATAATTTTGTCGTCTGAGAAAAATTGGCTGCTAATTACCAATGAAGAGAGAAAAAATGGAAAAAGAAAGTCTTGATTAAACACAATGATTTGTTATAAGTAGTTTTACTCATCTTTTTAAGAAAAACCACTTCAATTTGCTCTCTCCTCTTTCTTAAATGTCTTTGCCGAGGAGTCTGCTAACTATTGTGTTTTTTCTTACATCCTCTCTGTTCCTCCTTCTCTTAGTATCTCTTTGCCACATATGTTGCTCCGTCAGCCACTCTCGACATTGGACTCCAACAGGAAAAGAAGAAAGAAATTTATATGAAAATACATCCACCATTTGAAGATCTTTTTGACACAGCAGAAGAATATATCCTTCTTATCCTCCTGCAGCCCTGGATGAAGATGGTAAAGTCTGACCAAGTTACTTACAGAAAGGTACTGTGACACTGATGAATAGCGTGACCCTTTCTGTTTTACTACACAACTAATGATAAGCAATGTTGTTAACTTAGAAGAACTGAACAAGGTCTCACATGGGCTAGGGATTTAGAGTTAAGATTTGGAAGGGCTCAAAACTGTGGCAGGAAAAATGTTTATTAACTTAATGTTTGCCAGTTTCTCTATTGTCTCCTAACAAAACACTTAAATCTGTCATTTTTACTTTTCTGTGCAAATATGTCAGAAGAGAGAAATCTGAGTTTTAGTTTTCTGTGAGCTAACAAAATATGCCATGATAATACACTGGCTTTGTCCTTTCCCTGTCTCAGCAGTGGTCTTAATTTTGATTAATGGAAAAAGCCCGTTCATTTTACGCTAGATGAGTTACAGTAAATATTACACCCATGGAAAATATAAACGTTTCATATGTATTGTGAAAAGTCCTCTGACTTCAGAGCTTCTATTTTAAAGTACCCCCAGATGTTCATCAGGTCAGATTGCTTGACTGCATGCAAGTTTCAACACATCTTTTTCATTCTGAAAAAGCTCATTTTAGGCCTTGGTGCTTCAATATTTTCATTATTCTTATTGACAAGTAGAGGAAATTTATTTAAATATTTATTTTGAGTCACAAATTAAAACCATCCTTGGATTTTTTTTACATTAACTTAATGCATGTACCCTGAGCATGAGGTCAATTCAAGTGGAACTCCGCTGTTTTTGTATGGTTGTTCTTTATTCATACCTACTCCAAAACAGGTTAGTCAGTCATGTCTTTCACCAGGAAGGGTAGGTGGGGTGATCAAAACTAATACCAAAATACTGCACGCAGAGTTACCTTGTTGGATTATAACTGAAGCAATTATACATCTTACTCAATTTAGCAAGACTGAAATGATTGACTTTCATTCATGATTTCTCTCTCTTCTGAAAAATTAGTCTTTTCTATTAAAAAATGCACATATTACACTAAGAAAATTAGCATAGTATCTGAAATTTTAAAATCTCTTAGTCACTTTTAAAATACATTTATATATTTTATTGAATGGAAGAAATTCTGTAATGATAAAAAAATTGAAGTTATGACTAACTTCCCTAACTCAAAAAGTTTTGGCATTAGCAGTGATTCTTATAAAATATATAAGGCAGGTTATACACCTTTTTAATAAGAGGAAAAATATATCTCTTTTTCTTACTTTTTAAAACTTCTTCAAATTCAGCCTAAATATTTCTCTAAAGCCCCAGCTGACTGTATAATGCAGACTATTTCCCAAAAAGGATACTTAAGTGTTCTACCAAAGCTAGATACTAAACACAGAAGATTATTAGGCAGCTAGTCAGCCAAACTTCTTTCTCTGCAGTAGAGGAACAGAGCAGTTATGATCTGCTGACAAAGTAAAATAGTGATTTACGGGTGCTGAAGACTGAGAGCTTCTTATGAGGATTAACCTGGTGACTGCCTCCTGCTTTGCTATAGCAAAAAAATCTTTTCTCATAGACTGAGAACAGTATGGAGCCTGGTCATTTCTTGGTGACCTGTGAATTACTTGGATCGTAAGACTAGGAGTGCCTACCCTCAGGTTATGTTACATAGGAACTGGAAATATGAACAATATATTTACAGTGATAGTGTGTGTGAGATGCCCATAAAGGAGAAGTGATTGCCAGTGTTCCTCTAGCATTAAATAGAAATGTCTGCATTTCTTATTGCATGCATTTGAGTTGGGACTTTGCTGTGGCTAATATTATTTATATTCCTCTTTTCACTTCCAAACTAATTTTCTTTATTCATAATCATGTTTGTTTTTAAGCTAATATTGTCAAATTATGGATCTGCTCCCTAATCATGCATAATGCACATTCTGCTGATATTGTAAGTTTTGTTATTTGTCTTTTAGGTAGAACAGGTGGAAGAAAGTAGGCAGCTAGACTCCACATGCCTCAGAAAGCTGCAGGCTCTGTATAAAGAGTCATTGCCGAAGAAAGCTGGGGTAAGACAATTTTCTAATTAGAAAAGCAAACGTTTTGTGCTGAACAGGGCTCTACTTTATACACTTTCCTGGTGCTGAGGAAGCCTTATACTGAGGAAGTCATATGTTGGTAAAATAGGGATCGGCAGTGTCATTTTCCTGCTGTTCCTTTGCTTAGCATGGAGACCTGCATTTGACGGATCTCACATTTAACAATGGAGTCAAAAAGCAAAGCAGATAAAGTAGCAGAAGAAGCCAGGACATGTGTTTAGCAATGCTCACAAACTTGATCCTTGAAGCATTTTATAGCCTTTTGAATATTATAAGTTAATTTATGTCTGGCAACACCTCTTTCTCCTTGTCAGATCATGAGTTAAACTGAGTTTTGCTAAATGGAAAAAAGAACTTATGTGACAGCAAAAAACAAAACAATAAAAAATATGAAAAAGAACTGTAGAAGTCAGTAAAAAGATCATGGGATCGACTTGGATATAAAAGCATTGTTTTGACTTATGTATTTATATATGTAAAAAAATTGTATGACTAAAATATGATAGGTAAATAAAGCCATAAAATTAAATGTATGCATCTGCATAATATGACAGTTAATTTACCTGTAAAATGCTTATGACATATTATTATATAACTATGTATAAAAACACTGATATTGTCTGATCCTATTTATGTAAAATTATATATGTATTTTTACATGTATACACATATGCAAATGAGGTATTTACCAAAAATGTTAAAGATAGTTCTGAGTGATAAGGTTTAGGTTAATTTTTTTTACTTCCTCATATTTATCTGAAATTTTTATTATTGCATGTTAAAGTTTTACAAAAAAGTATTTTTAAAAAATTTAAACTTCATGGCCCAGGGAGATAGCTCAGTAAAATATGTTCTTGCCTGGAAAGCTCAGGGTCCTGAGTTTAATTTCCTATACAGAAAAAAAAAAATTGCCTTCATGATAGTTGCTTTGTTAACATAGTTCTTTATTTAAGATATTATTTTCTCAAAAAAATAGAACTGGGGACTTAGCTCTGTGGCCTAAGTGCCTGCCTGGCACGCACAAGGACCCAGGTTCGATCCCTGCATGGTGTGCCATGCGGTTGTCTGTGAAGTACGCTGTGCTGAAACTGGGTATGGTGGCACACATCTGTAATCTCAGCTCTGGGGAGGCTGAGACAGGAGGATCACTATGAGTCCGAGCTGTGGAGTGAGACCTTATACCAAATAAATAAAGATATAAAAGATATTTTTAAAAAATTTAAAAAGAGAAGGGCCAGCCAGATAGCTCAGCGGACTAAAGCACCTGCTTAGGCAGGCACAGGGACAGGGTTCGATCCCCAGCACCACATGCTGTGCCAGCCCTGCCCCTGGGGTGCACTGAGACAGTGAGTGCAACTGGGCATGGTGGTGCACACCTATAATCCCAGCACTTGGGAGGCTGAAAACAGGAGGATCACTATGAGTCTGATCTGTGTAGTGAGACCCTGTACACCTTGTACTAAATACATAAAAAAATTAATTTAAAAAGAGAATACATAAAAATTTTAAAAGGCAGAAAATTATAAGATTATATTTTCAACTTTAGGAATCAAAATTTATAACACTTACCCAGACATGGTGCTGCACACTTGTTATCCCAGCACTAGGGAGGCTGAGGCAAGAGGATTACTGTGAGTTCAAGGCCACAGTGGGCTACACAGTGAGTTCAGGGGAAGCCTGAGCTATATAGTGGCAGCCTGTCTGAAAAACAAACAAATAAATTTTATGACACTCCCTATAATACTTCTACATAAGGAAAATTAATTTTTAAAAATATTGGTAGTTTCTTTCTCAGTCAAACACTCTTGAAAAAACAAATAGATTAATTTTATAAGGAATTATATGATGAAGAGCTTTTCAAACAATAAGCTTCACTATACTGTTTTACCATTTCAGGCTTATAAACTATCCATACAGCATCAGAGATCTTAAAATTAGCTAAAAATTACTTTTTACATGGAGATTACTATCAGTATCATAACTTTTTAAAATTATGTTATAGAAGCATGTTTTATGTCCATTATGTATTGCGAAGAAAAAGAACAAGGTTACAAAAACCATATATGGGATACAATCCTATCTTCATTTTTAATCAACTACATGTATATACAATAAAGACTGGAAGGATTTACATAAACATATTAATGGTAGCTATGTCTCAACAGTACTATTTTTTTCAACAGTACTATTATGTATGATTTTTTGCAAAATAAATACAATTAGTATTTTAAAAACAATTGCTTAATATATAGTAAAGTTTTACTAAGTGCCCATAAAGAGGAAAAGGAAGAGAACAGAATTTGATCTGAGTTGGTGCCTGAAACACCTATATTCTTTATGCAGTTCTACCACTGAGTGGTTAAACAGCCTTGGATTGCTAGTTAACTCTTCTTTCAGTCTCTCTTTAAAATTATAAATTTATTACATTTAAAAATGAAGTTTTTCTGAAAAAGATTGTGTCATTAGGATGCCACTGGTGAAACTGGAACTGGTATTCTATCACTCCCGGATGTTTCTAAGCAAACAGAAAACTGGAATAATGTTCCTGACGAATACAAGCATTTTAATTTTAATGATCTGCTTAACAACAAGCTGGAGTTTGAACATTTCCGTCAGTTTCTTGGAGCACATTCCTCAAGGTAAGGAATAGGACCATTTTAAAATATTTCTCACCCAAAGCATCATTTTTCTAGGCTGTTAGTTTGGGGGGGATATTTTAGTTTGTTTTGTTTTTATTTTTTTTCATAATTTTATTGATAATTGTTTTGTTTTTATACAGGAAACTGAACTCAGGACCTCACACTGTGCACTGAGCTAAATCCCCAGCCCCGGGCTGTTAGTTTTGATTCTACACACTGTGATAGTGATCTTGTGCTGTATCTACCTATGTTCCTTAAAGCTGATGAACATAATTGTCTGAGGGCTGTGTGGATTACTCTTTGTTGGTGTGCATAAACTGAAGTGCTGATAATTTTTTCTCCCCAACTGGATAGAACTAGGAGCAAGATTTCACACTGTGTTTGGTTCTCTTCGTTGTAATGCTACTTGTCTACATCTGGCCTGTTATCGAATGGATGTGCTGAATGTAAAAATTTCCCTGTGTTTGAAGCTAATGAAACTAGTTCATCACTACTGAAGAAAAATGGGGATTATTAGGGTTATAGTAAAGTGAAATGGCCCAGGGAGGGATCAGAGGCAACACTGTACTAAGCAGTTCTATAATTTAATCAGTTGAGTTGCACTGACTAGCTAAGACAGTGACTTTTGGCGTCTGTCAAAGCAAAAGCTTTTTTGATGTTTAGTAGGCTTTAGAGAAATAAATAAGAAGTCTGTACTTTGTTCTTATTTTAGCATGGACCTTATGTGCTGGACAGACATCGAGCAGTTCCGAAGAATAAATTTCAGAGATCGAAATCAAAGGGAGGCAAAATCTATATATATTAAAAACAAATACCTTAATAAAAAATATTTCTTTGGACCCAACAGTCCAGCTTCTCCATATCAACAGAATGAGGTATCAACATATAAATCTATTTACTATTTTGAAGTGTGAAAATCATTTAGTTTTTTTTGCCAACACCTTGAAAGTCTTTTTTCTTTTTTGCTATTATGTGTTAGACACTTTTGATACTTATTTAGGTGTTCACAAGTATCTATAAATATTTTTCTTTTTAAGCAGTACACATTATTTAAAAAATGTTGCTTTAGTGAGGCACAGTGGAGTATGCCTGTCATGCCAGCACTCGGGAGACTGAGGCAGGAAGACTGCAGCAAGTCTGAGGCCAGCCTGGTTAAACCGTGTGTTCAAGGCCAGCCTGAATGCATAGCGAGATCCTGTCTAAAAAAAAAAAAAATTACTGATGTAACCATCCTTCTAAGTCTGTGTTGTAAATAATGCTTAGACATTTGAGGGTAGAATCACAGCTTTGTACCTATTATACTTCACTTATTCATTCATTCAACAAATACGAGTTCCTCTGATATGCCAGACATCGTCCAGGTGCTCAGAGCAAGGTGGTGAACAGCAGGGATGAGGTCCCTGGACTCTTGAACAAGCAGGAAAATAGTTGTCATCAACCATTAAGCCTAAGCCTAATCTCTGTCTCTTTTCTCCTTTTAGCTGTTATCATTCCAAATTTAATCCATCTTTGAAAATCTTGTTTACAGTTTTATTGCCTGCTACTCTATTTTTATTGACTAGAAACATAGGTTTGACCTTTTTGTTATATGAGTCCTATGGCCTTAATTATAATTTATTAATAATAGTGTCATTCAATTTACAGAAAGAAAGAAAAAACAGAGCAGAAGTCACCATGAGTTTGAGTGTTCATGCATTACTTTAACTCATGGTCTGTCTCAATTTTTATGCTTTTGAAATATTAATAATTAAGTATACTTTATGTGGTTTGAAGTTTTTTAGTTCTATACTGCTACATAAAGATCAAATTATTTTTTGTTTTAGGATTTTAAAAGTATATAGTCTATTGGTATACATTTATAAAACACAAATTTCACATTATTGTTAGATTCAGAAAATTAAAGAAAAATTCAGAGACATTCATGAGTAGAGCAAACCAAAATAACAAACCGTATCTTTGGTGGGAGTTGAATAAACAAGAGCTCTTGGGAACAAAAAGGAGAAGAAATGATAAAATTAAGCAACTTTGAAAAAAATGCTTTGCTGTTAGTTCCCCAAGATACAAATCTGGGGCACATTAGCAAAAGTGGTTGGGTATCTCAATAAGCACAAGTATGAATAAACACATGGAAAGCATTTGTTTTGTATTTGGCTTGTGCTTCATTGCGTGAGGTTTCATGGTATCTGATGCTACTGTGTGAAGCTTCTGTCATGCATACAGCACACTGAGGCTTGAAAAGTCACCGCTGCTGTCACAGCAAACGCTGTGCTCCACGTAGAGCCATCTCACTGCACCTGCTCGGTCCCCATCACTGCTTCTTCACTTACTCATTTTCTACTTGAGCCTGTCCATGTCACGTCAAATTCAGGAAGGTCCCATTGGGCCTCAGTTTAGCTGTGTGGTCAGTTTGATCTTTGATTAGAAAGGTAGTTTCTTATTCAAAAGCAGTATTACTTCTGGATTATTACTTGATAAATACTACTAAAAGAGGGCTAAAAAGGAGTTTCTCTTTTGTTTTTATACGAACTGATATTATTGAGAGCAGTATTTTATTCATATTACTAGTCAGAGGAGAGCTAAATGAAGAGATTAGCTATTCCAGTGGGAAATCCAGAAATTTTGAGCAGTATATATACAGAACTAGCTAGAAAACAGAATGATTTACAGCAGGAAATAGCTACCATTAGCTTACCGAGGCTAGTAATTATGCAGAAGAGTTAGACCACAAGGAATTTGCCTTTTTAAATGATAGTTCCTATAAAAGTCTGTCATTTTAAAAATCTAACCCTTCTCCACTTCCTGCTGCCTCTGTTTTCTTTTTAGAAATTTTCAGGACAGTCCTACATCGTTACCACTGCTGTCATCCAGCCAGTTCCCACCCAACATTTGTTAGAAACATACAGATTTATAATGTCTGCATAGAGGTTGTTTCTTAACTAATTAACACTTCAATTTCTTTATTCATAAAAATTAATGCTTTCTTAAATGAGTTAATTTGACTAGAATCACAGATGCTTAGAATATTAGACCTAGATGAGAACTTCTAAAACTAATAGACTACTATCAACATTTTATAATTGACGATGATGATTCAATACAAGAAAACAGTGCCTTTGCTTCTGGTCATGTTGCATCTGTCACTGAAGATGTCACTCAGTGGTAGGTGCTTGCCTCATCTTTCCCAGGCCATGGTTTAATCCTGCGGTGGGGAAGGAGTTCCAATATTTCATGTAAAGAAAAATTATATGTCTGAAACCACCATGTAAACTAAAATGCTTTTTTGATGTTAGAATTACCTGTTATTTCTATATGTAACACAGATGTGCAGAAAATGAGAACTGTGACACTTTCAGGTATGCTCAGATGGTGCAGAGTGAGTGAATGACAATGTTTTTTCTTTAACAAAGCACAAATTTTTAGTTTCTGTATCATTTTTATTTTCTTAGATAATGGCATTAAGTGGTGGCTGGGGAAAGATTCTCCATGAGCAGCTTGATGCACCTGTTTTAGTTGAAATCCAGAAGCACGTTCTGAATAGGCTGGAAAATGTGTGGTTGCCATTGTTTCTTGCAAGTGAACAGTTTGCAGCCCGGCAAAAGATAAAGGTATATAAAATCAGTCTAATTTCTGGCTAGCAATTGAGTACCTATCAAAATCTCAAGTGTATACCAGCAGCCTCACTTGACTGGGGACCCAGCCATTGTACTTCTCTAGGTACTAGCTACAAGAACAGAATCAGACTTTCCAAATTTTGATGTCAAAATTGCCACATATTAATTGTACCACTTTAATCTTCTCACTTGAGAAATGGATCTAATAATAGACATTGCTTCATGAGGCTATTGTGAAAATGAAATGAAATTAGTGTGTGTTTAGTTTCTCAGCATGATGCCTGGCACACAACAAACACATGTTATCTATCAACATAGTTGTTATTTTCAATATTATTAAGACCTTACATGAATAGGCAAGGATATATAAGGATATTCATTATAATGTCATGGGGGGAATTGTTAAGTGAGTTACAACAATTCTACTGTGGAAAACTACGCAGATTTCCATATAACGTGAGATTATACAAATGAGATTTCCACATGTATCACTATGAAAGATATTATTTATTGAGTGAAACAAACAGGATACAGAACAATAGATAAAAGACAATCTCATTATATCTACTTCTCTTTGTCTGTGTGTACATGTTTATGCATATCCCCATTTCTGTTTATCTATTCATCATTTATCCTTCTCCCTATCATTTTATTTGCACTTATGGAAGTAATCTAAAATGTTCTGCTTCCTGGAAATTGGCATGGAGATTGGGAAGGATTTTTATGTTTTACTTTGTAAAGTTGACTCTTGTTTTTGCTTCCTTTTATCTTTATTTCACATGAAGTATTATTTCAATGATTTAAAATTTCACTATCATGCCCCCCAAACAGGCAAGCCTGATCTTTACACAAATAACAAAAGGGGTAAAAATCCAATGATATGCTAGCCATTAATAATGCTCAGGAAGAACCTGAAAAACTTTCCTTCTACATTGTATTGAATTTATGAGACACTTTGAGGCTTGTATATCTGGAAATATCCTTAGTCTTTTGAGCTGAGCAACTTAGTACATCTGGGAACACAGAATTTATAGTATGGAGAAGAGCCCAACTCATTTTAGGCAAAAAGTTCCCAGAAATAAACTTCGGGAAAATTCAAATCTCCTCATTCTCTTCTTCAGGGAAACTCCAATTTTCTATCCAAATCTAAGTAAAGGACATTTGGCTTACTAGTATTATTTACTGCATTTTCTCATTATATTTACCACAGTAATTTTACTGTAACTCGTAGTCATTTCCTGACTTAGCGTTCTTTGGGTGGTCAGCAAAATAAACTGATGCTGGCAACAACCTTAAGCCAAAGGAAAAAGGAGAGGGTGAGAATTTATTCTAAAATCTCATGCATTCAGGGGAAGAATTGACACCTAATCTTTAGAAAAGGTGTAGGCCAGAACTCAGCAAAAAGTCAGATGTTTTCTCTGGGCTGTGGCTATCAAATAGCTCAGTTCTGAGATTGTATCTCAGTGGCTGAGGGCTTGCCTAGCACATGTGAAGCCTGGGTTCAAACCCCAGCACCAACACTATAAGAAAAGGGGGAAACACCCTCAGCCCTAGTGATCCTAGTCCTTGACTCTCTAGATCAGCTCCTGGGTCACTCTGCTATGGATAAGGAGATAGAGACACATAGCATGTATTTGGCATCAGTAGTCCCCCCAAAAGGGAAAATATCTGTAGTCAGTAAGCCTAAGAATTAATTCTTTCTAAGCATCCATGGAAGACTGATATATCAAAAATATGAAGACATTCAAGTTCTTCATTTAAAATGACATCAAGTTTGCATATAACCTACTCATATCTTCCCATGTACTGTAAGATCATCTCTAGATTATTTGTAAAATCCTAATGCAATGTAAATGCTGTATAAATTGTTGTTATACTGTGCTGTTTAGGGAATAAAGATAAGAAAAATAAGTTTGTATATGTTCAGTACAGACACAGACTTTACTTCCCAAATATTTTCCTTCCAAGTTTAGTGGAGCCCTGAAATATGAAGGATAGACTGTCAACTGTGTTTCCTGTGTTGACAGTAAGCTTTGGTCTCTCCTAAAATTAGTTGCACAAAAGTGTATGACTAGAAAATAGCACAAAAATTACCACAGCCATAATTACCTCTCTAGTTTCAATTCCCATGTGAGTTGGAGTTAAATCCACATGTATGTAGGCCAGTGTGATTAGCTGTTGTCTATATTAGCAGATAAAGAAACTGTTCCAAGAACATGTGATGCCCTGAATCGTGACTGTGGGGTTTTTCTTCTCCACCTGATCCTCTCCTTCCTGACCAGCACTCCTCTTACCCAGCCTAGCCTTTACTTCACATTTTTTTTTTTTTTGTTTTAGATTTTGTTTTTGTCTTTTTGAGACAGGGTTTCACTGTGAAGTTCAGGCTGGCCTCAGCCTCCTGAATGCTGGGATAACAGACATGTACCACCACGCCCGGCTTTACTTCCCATTTTAAGTTATTAGTCAATTATTTGAAAACTTTGGGCAGCATAAATAATAGGATAAACAATTGGTTTTGCTTTTAGGTACAGATGAAAGACATAGCAGACGAGCTTTTACTACAGAAGCATGAAGGGAAAATTGGGGTCTGGAAGGCAAGTAACTGTTATATTCTTCCTTTTGTAAGTTCTACTTGGTCCTCCCTTGTTGTCCAATAAAATCATCACTATTGACACTACCTATGAAACCAACTGGCTGATACTGTTCTTACCTGTAGGTCAAAATTGGAGGAAAGTGACTTTTTTTAAGTACTTTTTTTGGTGAGGGGTACCAGGGATTGAACTCAGAACCTTGCACTTACCACGCAAACTTGTTCCACTGAGTTGTCTCCCTGGGCCCCTGAAAGTGTGACTCTTAACTCTTGAAGAGCTCCTGACCTGTTCAACTTTATTTGTTTATTTTCATTTATGTATTTGGTACAGGGTCTCACTACACAGATCAGACTCATAGTGATCCTCCTGTTTTCAGCCTCCCATGTGCTAGGATTACAGGTGCATGCCACCACGCCCAGTCTCAGTCCACACCTCAGCCCGCCCCAGGAGTGGGGCCAGTATGGCACACTGGGGATCGAACCCTGGCCGCTGCGCTCTGCCTAAGCAGGTGCGTTAGTCTGCTTAGTCATCTGGCTGGTCCTATTGCCCTGTTCAACTTAAGAAGTGTGTAATTGGCTTGAAGAGATAACGTAGTCTCTCCTTTCTGTACAAAATCTCCTTACTCTGTCAGTGATTTCTTTTGCTGCACAGAAGCTCTTACAAAGGACTAATACCTAGACTGTATAGAGAATTCAAAAAAATTAGACCCCCCCACATTTAAAAACCCAATTAAAAAATGGGCATCTGAAACAAGTAGACACTTCTCAGATGAAGAAATACAAAACAACAATAAATACATGTGAAAATGTTCAACATTGCTGGCCATTCAAGAAATCCAAATGAAAACAACACTGAGAGTCCATCTTCCTGCAGAAATAATGGCCACCAGCAAGAAATCAACCAGTAACAAATGCTAGCAAGGCTCTGGTGAGAAAAGAATCCATCTTTATTGTTGGTAGGACTCTAAACTGATATAATCACTACAGAAATTCCTTGAAAAGCTATAAGTAGAAATTCCATTTGACCCAGCTATTCAAATCCCTTTGAGGTATTTTCCCAAAATTAAAGACATACCCCAGCAATATATGCATACACATGTTTATAGCATTATTTGTGGGAAAATGGACACCCCTTGAGACATAATGTTAGGTGAAGTAACACAGACACACAAACTTAAATATCACATGGTTTCTCTTATATAAATAGCTTGCCCCCCTCTATATATAACAGGAAAAAAGGTATTGTAATCTAGAGGAGCCAGCGTATTTAAAAGTGTGCCTTGATGTAGTGCAATTGTCTTACATGTCTTATACATTCTTTGTCATATTGTCTGATTTTTAATCTGTATATATGATAATTAAACTGATAGGCTCTTATAAATAAATGAATCCAATGCTGGAAAAATAAAAGGGATGGGTGGAGGGGAATTGAAATGTACTATGTACATGTACCAATCCCTACAGTGGAGTAATCATTATCTGCTACAAATATATATAGAGAGATAAATGTAGATATAGATATATTGTATTTTTCTTCATGAGGCTTTTTATTTGGTTTCCAGTACAATAAAAAGTAATTTTATTTTGCTTGTGATGGATTTATTATACAAGCTGATCACCCAAAAGCAATGAATAATATGAGGCAGAATAAGCAAGTTAAGTTGCATTTACTTATAATTGCAGTTTAGCTTTAAAAGAATTATAGTAGCTATCATTTTGGAAATTATTAAAATCACCAAGATATCTATAACACACTTATACAGTAATTACCTATTTTTCTTTTTAACAGACATGATGAATATAGTCTTCCTTTTGAGCTTTATGTTTATGTGTATTCTTCAAGTCGTTATGTCAGACTAGACCTGGGTGACTTGCTGAAAAAATGATCAATAAGGACAAAGTCAAGTGTTCTGGCACATACCTGTAATCTCTTCATACAGAAGGCTGAGGCAGGAGGATCACTGAGTTCAAGACCAGCCTGGGCTACTTAGTGATTTCAAAGTCTGCCTGGTTTTGAGACCCTATCTCAAAACAATAAAACTATACTAAAAGTTAATTTGAGTTTCAGAAGAGAGCATATATCTGTTAGAACACTCTTTTCTGTATTTTCCTCTTGAAAGGAAATAATCTTTTTTTACTATTTAATTTTTTGCTTTATTTTCATTAAAACATTAGTAGAATGAACTTATATTTTACATTATTGTGCATATGTTGTATTATTTTCTATTTAGTTCAATTATAGGTTTCAGTTAAAATACTAAGTTTTAGTATCTTAAGAAGCAGGTCTTAAAACATTATTTGTTGAGTGGATTTTAAATAAACATCCCAGTCTAATCCACGGTTGTTCCTATTTATAGGGCTATAATTTTAATAAGGACCAGATGGTGAGGGTCTTAAGTTTTGTCTGGAGAACGTGGCATGTGCCTCACAGAAACAGTGATACACATCTGTGCGCTCCGTCTGAGTAATGGCACCGCGCTCGTCCAGAAGGCCTGGACTTGCCTCCCCCGCTCAGTGCCAGCTTGACAGCATCCTCAGGGCCCTCCTGTAAAGGGCTCGCTTTCCCAGGCAGAATTACTCTTTCCTTTGTGTCCCGTAGCACTTTTTACTTAGCTCTCTTAAACACTTGCATTGATGGTCACAATTGATTTGTTTCAAGGAATTTATTTTATGCATTGTCAGAAATGGATATGTTTCATGTAATTTAATCATTAATATAATTTGTAAGTCCATTTAAAATGTTGCCTTTGGAAGGTTGCTTCTTTGTGTGCTTGTACACTGAAGTCAACTTGGATAACTTCAAAAAAAATCTATTTGGTAAATTCAAAACAATCTATATCTTATCTTTTTTGAATCTGGGAGGGTAAAAGGGATTGGATATGTGATTTTAAATGATCAAAGTAAAAAAGAAATCTTTCAAATTCATGAAGATGTAAAATAACTATAGATAAAAATAACCTTAAGCATTACTAAAACACCATGGATACTTCTACATTTTAGGTTATATAAATAATGTCAGAGGAATTTTATTATTAAAATGATTATTTCAATTATCAATCATAATTTAGTATTAGGTAATATAAAAATGTCTTACCTAAGTCATGATCTTTGCAGGATAGGATTTTAACAAAGCTCTACAGTAAATTTTCTATTTAAATTAGAGTTGATATTTTTTCTAAAAAAATGAAAAACTGTCTCAATTATTCAACTATTTTTACTTTTTAAAACACAAGATAATTATATAATAATAAAATAAACAGTAATGTAATGACAGCCATAACATTATGATTACTTTGTCCCACTTCAGCATAGAACTCATATTATGTACTAAGCAGTACTCTTACGCCATGGCCACACACTGCAATGACTACTAAATTCTTAAACAGTGTAGTCGTGTGCTCTAAGCCATCCAGTCAGTTCTTTCTTTTTTCTATATTTCTCTTAAAAAGTGATGCCATAAAAATATAAAGGAGATAAAAAAAAAAGAGGAGCAGAGAGTAAAAATTTGCCGGGTGCTATGTACTGCTCTCATGCCACAAATTTCTGCAGCCAAAATTAAAGAAAAGTTGATAAGTTAGCCTAATTAGTGTCTTTGTTTTTGTATTTTTAACCATAACTGGTTTTGTCTATTCTCTGTTTTGGGCAGGCTGTGGAGAGCAAGTGGATATCTTCATCTTGTGAAATTATTGCTTTCCGTAAAGCATTACTAAATCCAGTTACTGCAAGACAATTTCAACATTTCGTGATGCTAAAAGGAGATTTATTGGGAAATGGAGTACTGTTTTGGCAAGAAGTACAAAAATATAAGGTACTGTACTGAGAGATGCGGAAATTTTGAGGAGGAATTGCATTAACACATCAGCGTCTTGACTGTAGCTTTATTATGGACAAGATTTGTATAAGCTCAGTCTTTCCAGCATCATACCCATTCTTAGACTTTGAGATGCTTATTGTTATTGTCTAGATAAACATAATATACAGTGAAGAGTAAGGGTGAGTCCTAAAATGATAGTATTTGGGTTTTTCAAGGCACTGACATGCATTATAACCTAATGAATATAGTATTTCTTGATGAGTTTTAACTGCATGTTTATAACTCAGGTAGAATAAGTGTACTGTATATGTGTGTATATGCCATACATGCACCATGAAAATAAATGTATTAGACACTTTTTTTCTTACAGATAGCTGTATTTAGTACATCCGTATAACTATGCCTGCTATGTAAGTATTCTCACAGCTGTTTTTATAACAATAATAATTAAAGATATTTGTAGATAAATTAAAAGAGATGACAAAGGTTTTTTTATTAGAAAAATAGCTGAATTTAAATAAAAGAACAAGGATCAGGATGTGGTAACCATCCCCGTAAACCCAGCCCTGGGGAGGCTGAGGCAGGAGGATTGCTGTGAGTACAAGGCCAACCTGGGCTAAATGGTGAGTTCAAGGCTAGCCTGAACTGCATAGTGAGCCCCAGTCTAAATAAATAAATAAATAAATAAATAAATAAATAAATAAATAAATAAAGTTAGGTGCAAAGACAGGGTTTTTTCCCAGGTTTAAGCGGTTAGTAAATTCATATAGAATCTTTGCCATTAGAAGAAGGAACTTTCCCTGTTGCATTATCTAGATTTCAGGAAAGAAATGTCAAGAAGCTAGGCATAGTTGCATGTTCCTGTAATCCCAGCACACAGGAGGTTGAGGCAGGAGGATAACTGTGAGTTTGCAACCAGTTGTGGGGTACACAGTGAACTGGAGACCAACTTGAACTGTATAATAAGGCCTTATGTCAAATCAAAATAAAATAAAAAATGTCTTCAAGAATCTAAGGTCTCTAGTGTGGATTTACATGCTCTTAGGGGTGCAGGCTTATTTCCCTGCAAGCAGCCTGTTTTATTTTTAAAAGTAACACTAGCGTTTAGGAGTATAATGCTTTCAGTTGGCCTACCATTTTAAGTACATATTATGTTACACTGATATAGTTACTCAGTATATAGTTAGTAACTGCTCAATAAACCCAAGCCTTCTCCAACTATTTCTTCCCTTTTCTTTTTCTATTTATTTATTTATTTATTTGATACAAGGACTCACTACACAGCTGGATTTGTAGTGATCTTCCTGATTTCAGCCTTCCCAGTGCTGGGATTACAGGCGGGTGCCACCAGGCCCAGACTCAGTCGCTGGCTCAGCATGCCCAAGGGGCAGGGCCTTCACGGCATGTGGTGCCAAGGATCAAACCCCCAATCCCTGTGCTTGCCTGAGCAGGTGCCTGGTCTGCTGAGCCATCTCGCCTAGTCGTGTAGCTGCCATCTTAATATCTTTTCTGTGGCATAATATTAAGGGCTTACAATAGTGAATAGCTATATTTAAAAATATGATCTAAAATTAAAAAGCATGCAATGGGAGTAAATTTGTTCATCTGAGAAGCATTTATTAGATGTGAAATGTGCCAGCCATTGTGCTAGACTATAAGAATGATAAGGTAAATATCGCACATGGTCCTTCCTCAGGGAGGAAGACATCCAGGAAAGCAGATATTAGAAGACAATATTGGTCCTGATCCATATCCGGTTGAGGTATAGGTTAGCATAGAGGAGGTGATGCTGAGGATGGAAGATGGTAGGTCAAGGGGCAAAGGGGTGTTATTTGTATTAGACTTGCAGAAATTTACCAGGTAGATGGTGTCCTCCTGGCAAAGCATTGTGAACTGGTTTTCCTTGGCTTGCTCTTACTGTTTACTATCTGCTGGACCCTGTCTTAATGCTTTTTATGTGATAATTTATTCTTCACAAGAACCCTATGACCTCAAGGATAGATGTTATTCTTACAGAATCCTAAGAGATCAAAGATATTATTTAACAGATGAAAAAGCTAAATCATAAAAAGTTAAGAAACTCTCTACATAACAGGTGATTAAGTGATAATATTAGAATTTGAACCCACTTATTGTATTGCTAAAGCTCATCTTTAACTACAAATGATGCTGCCTCCCATGAATGATTGTGGTAATATATGAAGAGCTGCATGGAGTAACCCTAATCAAACCTTGTTCTAGATTATGAAAAATTGTGCAGGACCAAATGTACAACGAAGTGACATTTGTTACTGAATCATAATACAGGTCCAAAACAAAACACTGCAGCTGATAAAACTCATGTTGTAGGCAAACAATAGTCAATGATGGAAAAAGATGTTTCTTTAATACCAGCTACTTGAAGACACTATGATTTAGTAAAAATACATGGTGTATGTGTAAAGATTGGAAAAATATAGTCATCCAATGAATATTTATTGAGCCCCTACCAAGGCCAGGCTAACTTCTTTTTTTTTTTTTTTT